GGTGACAGCCAACAGATGCGCCAGCGTTAACAGCTAAGAAAGCAAGTTCAAGATGGACTGAAGGGGCCTTCAGTGTCTGATCACTCCCAAAACTGGGCGAGCAGCACTTGACTATCTCCCTGTTTGGATCAGGGAGGTATTCTTAGCAACCATGGGACCCCCATCAGCTTGGTCCACAATACGCCTAGAAATTAATCCCTTTCAACAGAAATTACCTCAGTCCAGCTTCCAGTATGACCCCTATAAAAAGTCATTGGACAAGCAGCTTAGCAGTTTTTCCCTTTCTTGGGATACTACCCACTCTTAAGAGTTTTTTGGTGTTTTTAACATTTTATTTATTTTTATTTTATGTGTATGAGTGTATTGCCTGCATGTGCACCCATGTCAGGCAATGCCCAAGGAGGTCAGAAGGTTTTTAGATCCCCAGGAACTGGAGTTACAGATGGAGTTAGCCACCAAGTGGGTGCTGGGAATCAAACCTGAGTCCTCTGCAAGAGCAGCCAGCATTCTTGACCGCTGAGCCATCTTTTCAGCCCAGAGTTTCTTTTTCTTAATTTCTGTATTTTCTGTAATTTTCTTTAATCTGCTTTTGTTTTGCTCATTCCTCCTTTTCTGCATCTTTATATCTCATCGACATGAAAAAAGAACTGAAGAACCACTGTCTCCGGTTGACCTGTGATGACCCTGGTCAAGTCCATCTGGACCATGAGAGGCCTCTGTGCTCTCAAAGATCAGCATCATCAGGAAGTACACTATATTGGGATTTCAGTGTTTGGGTTTAAATGTCATAATAAGCAGACGACCTTTGGAGCCTGTGATAATGATATTGTATTCTCTTTATTTCTAAAAGCCCCCCCCCGCCTTTTTAAGACAGGGTCTCTCTGTAGTCCCAGATGGCCTGAAACTCGCTATACAAACCAGTCTGGCCTCAGTTGCACAGAGATCTGCCTGCCTCTGCCTTCCACGAGTGCTGGGATTAAAGGTGTATGATACCACCCTGGCCTAAAAAAAGTCCCTATTTTTTTTTTTTTGTCTTATTGAAACAGGGTCTCCTTGTAGCCCCAGGTGTCCTGGAACTCACTATGTAGACCAGGCTGGCCTTGAACTCACAAAGATCCACCTGCCTCTGCCTCCCAAGAGCTGGGATTAAAGGCGAGTGCCACCACAACAGGCAAAGTCCCTACTTTTTAATGTTTTTGTTTCAGGAAGAAAAGTTATATAAGATGCTTCACCACCTTTCCTACAAATGTTCATCATCTAGTTTATGCTACAAGGACTGACATTATTCGTGTTAGTTTTGATGGTCTTAAAACTCTTCACAAACATTATAGTGCTGACAGGAAGCAGTGAATCAGAGGAAATGAATTCTACGTTTCAAACACTTGACAAGAGTTGTACCAACAGAAGCAATGATTCATTCTCTCTGCATAGATTTACCCACTTTTGTTTCCAACATTTTACTAAAACAAGTTAAAATCACTATAGGTCCAATATTGTATTATGCAAAATTAAATGTGTACAATATTTTGAAAAGTAAGTTTTATATAACTCTTTTTAATTTTCTGACAGATAAACATCTCCCTCTAGTGGAAAGTTTGATTTTGGAAAACAAAAATGGAAGAGAGTTAACTCTTTTTTTTTTTTTTTTTTTTTTTTAGTATCTTTGAGACAGGGTTTCCCTGTAGCCCCAGCTGGCCTGGAACTCAAATATGTAAACCAGGCTGGCCTTGAACTCACAGAGCTCCACCTGCCTCTGCCTCCCGAGTGCAGGGACTATAGGCCTGCGCCACCACGCAAGGCTAACTCTGTCTTCACTTTCTTTTCTTTTAGTCATAACAGTAAAAATGTGTGCCATATGTAAAATGGTTGTTCTAGTTTGCTTTTCTGTTGCTACCACAAACACCATAACCAAAAATAACTTTGAGGGAAGTGAAGGGTTTATTTGACTTACACTTCCATCACTGAAAGACAGTCAGGGCACAGCAAACTAAATTGGTGCAGCAGTGGCACTTTTATCTTGGGGGTAATTAACAGCTACCTAATTGGACTTAAAGCCCACCCAATGGGAAAGAACTCATATCTGGCATCGTCAACATACCCAAATACACATGATGGAAAAATCTTAGAGAAAAGCCTAAGTCTGTCACATCCCTAGACAAATGTAATTTCTTACTATGTGCTAATATGGATCCTTATATTTACAGACAAGTATGCCAGTCATCACTCATCAAAGTTTCTTTTGTAACAGATGGAGACCATTACAGAGTTCCATAACTGGTCACACACAGAGAATGAAGTAGAAATCATGGAGGAACGATGCTTCTGCTCAGCAACATTCCTTCCCTTTCCATTTCCTTTTCCCTTTCCTTCTTTTTTCTTTTTAGACAGGGTCTCACTATGTAGCCCTGGTTGGCCTCGAACTCACAGAGATTTGCCTGCTTCTGCCTCCAGAGTGCTGAGCTAAATATATGCACACCACACCCATTTAACTTCAAGGTCAATAGGATATTGTTTTCTAGATAATATATTTCCCTTTCCTTCTTTTTCCTTTTTAGACAGGGTCTCATTATGTAGCCCTGGTTGGCCTGGAACTCACAGAGATTTGCCTGCTTCTGCCTCCAGAGTGCTGAGCTAAAGATATGCACACCACACCCATTTAACTTCAAGGTCAATAGGAGGCTATGATACCACAAAGTTGCCACAGGCTGTAGTCTAAGCCCATAAATGATACCGCCATGCAAGAAAACAGGTGGTGTATACCAATTTAAGGTCAGGATTGTATTCACCATAAAGAAGGAAAATTATATTGCTCATCATAAACAACCATCTACAATAGAAAGAAAACAGAGTTATTAGGTCATACAAAGTAAATTATTAGGGTCCTAAAACAGGCTGTCCAACGAAAATACACACCATCTATTTGGGCTCAAGCTCCATTCTGGTCTTCAAGAGAGAGCTTTATGGTCACGTAGCCTTGGTGACCCTGTACAGACCTAGGTGCTGGTGCCCACTTGGGGAAAGCATAACTTACCTAAGACCACTCACCATCTATACCCTTGACATATGAAAATATTAAATTGTATCCTGTTCAATAAGCATTTGGAATGCCACACAGCGTTTCCTTGGTCACCTTGGCAATACTGAAGGGTGACACTGAGGTAACTGACTTTCAAGCTCTGTTTTCAGATAAGGAGAACTGGATATTCCACAGCTCATCCTTAGCCTGCCCAGGACAGTGATATCAACTGAGTGCACTGACAGCAAAAAGGAGCAAAAGCTCAAAGCTTACGTACCTGGACCTCATCCTTGGATTTTTTTTTTCACAAGGTGACTGTCTGACACCTAAGGAAACAAGGTACTGACTCTCACTGACTTCCATCCCAAACAAAAAGAAACAACTTGGGGCTGGATTTACAGCTGAGGATATCGGTAAGGATGAAGAATCTTGGCACCAGAGCCTGAGTGCATGAGAGCAGCTTTTCATCTGCACTTGAGATGACAACCGCTCTCTAACCACTTTCTTCATCTGATGAGCTAAGATGAAGGCAGCCTTTCTGTCCTTTCTAGTTCTGTTCCTCTTCTTTATACGTTTCTTATAAACCCAGGTGGAAAATCCAACTGGTTGAAACATCTATCTGCTCTGAAAGCATGCGCCCAGCCTCAGTTAGTTCTCAAAATTATGACTAGATCTTTTCAGAGATAGTCTTTGAAGCTATCTGAGCCTATTCCGCTTCACCTGCTCTACCTCAGCCAATAGCCCTATATGTCACCATTCTGTCTGTTTCATTATCTTAAAGAAAGTCAAAGCCAAAGCTCTGTCCTCCCTGTGTTGTCCTAGCAGTCCAGAAGAATTTGCAGGATCATCCTCCCTCAAGCAGCTTTTATCATGGCTATGGTCCCAAGATGACTGCTACTGGGAGATCCTGAACAAAGTCTCCCAATTGGGCTGCTCCCAGAACATGCTAAATGTTCTGGAAATTTTTTACATAGAAATAATTAAAAGAAGCTGGCATGGTGGCACATGCCTTTAATCCCAGCACTTGGGAGGCAGAGGCAGGTGGATCTCTGTGAGTTCCAGGCCAGCCTGGTCTACATAGTGAGTTCCAGGCCAGCTGGGGCTACAGGGAGACCCTGCCTCAAAA